CTCATACAGTACATCCTGACCCAGCTTCCCTTCCTCCACCCCCTCAGTCTCCCCCACTCCCTTACCCCCCAGATCCACTGCTCCTCCATTTTCTTTCAGAAAAAAAGCAGGCTTCCCAGGGATATCAACTGAACACGGCATAACAAAATGCAATAAGACAAGGCACAAACGCTCATATCAAGGCTGGAAGAGGCAACCCAGTCAGAGGAAAAAGGTCCCAAAAGCATGCAAAAGAGTAAGAGATACCCCTTCTTCCACTGTTAGGAGTACCACAAACACTCCAACCATCCACAGCATGTATGCAGAGGACCTACTGCAGATCCATACAGTCGCTGTGATTGCCACTTCAGTCTCTGTGAGCCCCTATAAGCCCTTCTTAGTTGATTCTGTGGGCCATGTTCTCCTGGTGTCCTCGACCCCTTTGGCTCCTACAAATCTTCCCTCCACCTTTTACAGGGTTCCCAAGCTCTGCTTAATGTTTGGCTGTGGGTCTTTGCATCTGCTCCCATCAGCTGCTGGAGGAAGCCTCTCTGATGTCGACTGGGCTAGGCACCAATCTATGAGTGTAGCAGAGTATCATTAGGAATCATTTCATTGATTTTCTTTTGTCAGTCGTGTTTGGTTCTACCCTAGGTCTCTGAGTCATCCGGCTTCTAGTTCCTGGTAGTATCAGGCTTGGGCTCTCTCTCATGGCTCAGGCTTCAAATTAGCCCAGTCATTGGTTGGCTCCTCCCACAAGCTCTGAGTCACCATTGCCCCAGCATATCCTGCAGGTAGGACAGGTGTGAGTCAAAGGTTTTGTGACTGGGTTGGTGGTGTCTTAGTCCCTCCACTGGGAGTTTTGCCTGGCTACTCTGGAGGTGGCTGGTTCAGGCTCTGTATCCCCCATTATTAGGAGTCCTTGCCAGGGTCACTCTCATAGGTTCCAGGAAGTTTCCTCTGTACTAGGTTTCCACATTGCCCTTATATACCCCCATTCCACTCACATCTCCCTGTACTCTCCCCCTCTGTCCCTCCAACTCCCACCTGAACCCTCATATTCCCATCCCCACCTACCCCCAGTCCACCTGCAAAAACCTAGTCTATTTCCCCTTCCCAGGGAGATCCATGCATTTCCCCCCATCCAGCCTTCCTTGTTACTTAGCCTCTCTGAGTCTGTAGACTGTAGCATGGTTATCCTTCACTTAACAGCTAATATCCACTTACAAGTGAGTACACACCATGTTTGTCTCTCTGGGTCTGGGTTACCTCATTCAGCATGATTTTTTCTAGTTCCATACATTTGCCTTTCATTTTCACAACACCTTTTTTTTTTCTTCAAAATCTGAGTTATACTCTATTGTGTAAATGAACCCATTTTCTTTAGCCATTCTTGGTTAAGGGACATCTCGGTTGTTTACAGTTTCTGGCTATTATGAATAAAGCCACTATGAACATAGTTGAGCAATTTCCTTGTGATAGGATGGAGCTTCCTTTGGGTATATGCCCAAGAGTGGTATAGCTGGGTCTTGAGGTAGATTGATTCCCAGTTTTCTGTGGAACTGTCATAGTGATTTCCACAGTGGCTGTACAAGTTTGCACTCCCACACTGGTGTGGAAGTGTTCCCCTTGCTTCACATTCTTGCCAGCATGAGCAGTCACTTGTGTTACTGATCTTAATCATTTTGACAAGTGTAAGATAGAATCTCAAAGCAGTTTTAATTTGCATTTCCCTGATGGATAAGGATGTTGAACATTTCTTTAAGTGTTTCTCAGCTGTTTGAGATTCCTCTGTTGAGAATTCTTTGTGTATCCCTGTACCCCATTTTTAATTGGATTGTTTGGTTTGTTGATGTCTAGTTTCTCGGGTTCCTTGTATATTTTGGGTGTTAGTCCTCTACTGGATGTGGAGTTGGTGAAAACCATTTCCCATTCTGTAGGCTTCTGTTTTGTCCTATTGACAGTGTCCTTTGCCTTACAGAAGCTTCTCAGTTTCACGATGCCCCATTTATTGATTGTTGATCTTAGTGCCTATACCATTAGTGTTCTGTTTAGGAAATTGTCTCCTCTCCCTATGTGTTCAAGGCTATTTGCTACTTTCTCTTGTATCAGGTTCAGTGTGTCTAGTTTAATGTTGAGGGCTTTGACCCACTTGGACTTCAGTTTTGTGCAGCATGATAAGTATGGATCTATTTACATTCTTGTAATTGCTGACATCCAGTTAAACCAGCACCGTTTGTTGAAGATGCTTTCTTTTTTATTGTGTATTTCTGGCTTCTTTATAAAAAACCAGGTATCCATAGGTGTGTGGATTTATGGGTCCTTGATTCAATTCCCTTGATCAATGTTTCTGGTTTTATGCCAATACCATGTGGTTTTTATTATTATAGCTTTGTAGTACAGCTTGAAATCAGGAATGGTGGCACCTCCAACAGTTCTTTTATTATATAAGATTGTTTTAGCTATCCTGGATTCTTTGTTTTTCCATATGGGGTTGAATATTGTCCTTTTAAGGCTAGGCTGTTCTTTTATAGCATGATTTCTCTTGTCTCATTACTTTGTTCAAAGTCCTTCTCTGATTCCCTGTGGTCTATAAAGTATGACATAGATTCCAATCCTTTTTTTGTCTGTTCTGGTTCTACACTACCTATTCAGCTTCATTCTATGGCCCTCCTATCCCATTATCCATCACTCTTGTGGCCCAGTTTTTCTACCACTCTTGCAAAAATGCTCTTCATTCCCACCTCCGTGACTCCATCCATCACTACAAGTTTTGTCTTTGCTTATCCATTTAAAAGTCTGGTGGCTCTGTAAGCCTCCTCACTGATACTCCCACTGACTATGGCATTTAATTTCCCAGGATTCACAGCACTGTCCTTGCGTGCATGGCTCTAATAACCATACTTTTCCTGTAATATAGTCCTATACTTTCTCCTTGTGTTGAAGACAGAATGTGATTCCTTCACTTTCTCTTCCCTGTAGTGCCTCTGTCACACAAAGTACACAAGAGGCAGCCCCTGAGTTGCAATAAATATGACTGAATTCTGGTTTCAAACTGTGCCTCTTTTGCCTCTCTTTTTGTTCCAGCTTTTGCACACACACACACACACACACACGCACGCACGCACGCACGCACGCACACACACACACACACACACACACACACACACACAACCCCACTACCTGACTGCTGTGGTCCTTGCTGGAAGTTACTCCCTCCGAGCTCCTGCTACACTTAAGGGTGTCACCACACCTTAGTACGCTTCTGTTCACAAACACCCCAGGCTTGGTAGTTTCTGACTACAGAGTTAGTTTATTCCACACAGCTTTAGAGACCTTGGAGTCTCAAATCAAGGCACTGGCAGGTCTGGTGTCTGGAGAGAGTGCCTGTCTGATTACAAGTTGGAGCTTTTTTGGCTGTGTCTTCCCATAGTGGAAGGTGGCAGCATGGGGACCATGGTATCCTGACTTGCCAGAAGAGAGAGCTTGGCAAAGGCTGGGTCGTTCTTTGCATCTGTTGCTTGAGGACATTGCTACCATTCAGTCCTCTGACTGCCTTATTGCTTAATCCCATTTCGGCAGGGCTCACTAACCCCTCCCCCCATCCATGAAGATTTTAATTTTCAAGAACAGGGCTGAGGAAATGGGACTGCTGGCTTTGGGACCCACTTCTTGGTCCTGTCACTTCAAGAGTTATCAACAGAAATGGGGGTGCAAGCATTCAGACCACAGCACCACATGACCTGGTATTCCATGAATTATCTTGTATGGCACACTTCTTGTTCAAGTATGAGTAAATATGGCCTTGCTGAATGCATCACTATGTAGACTCTGCTCTCTGGGATGGAGCTGACCATGCCTTACACACTTCCTGGACCTCCTCAGGTCCTGCTGAATGCATCACTGTGTAGACTCTGCTCTCTGGGATGGAGCCTGACCGTGCCTTACACA